ATTTTTACTCTTAAAATAAGATAATTAGATAAAATGCACTTGAAATAAGACAATGCAATTGTGTTTTCTTATTTTAAGTGTAAATTGTCTTGTTCCATTGGCAAAATGTCTCTTTTACCTCCTCAATTCAAGAACAAATGCACTTATTTTAAGAATAAATGACTTATCTAGATTTCGATTTTTTCCAGTGCAGCTCAGGGCTGACGGAGCATTTCCTGTCTCTGCTCCCAAGTTATGGAAAATTCGCCCCTGGTGTTTAACAGGCCTCTGCTTTTCCAGCTTCTAAATCTCTTTTAAAAACACATTTTGATTCCTTGCATTTAACTGTGATCCGGTTCGTTCTGTACGACACTTCAAAATATGCCTGCTGTGATAAAAACTTAAAGAGTTTTTTTGTTGTTGTTGTGTTTAATCTTCAAACTTAACTCATGTTTTCTCACTGGTTCTCTAAATATACAGCATTTGGCTTTTTCCTCTAATTTTCTGAATCCGCATCTCATGCCGTCTGCCACTCCCATTTTGAAAACCACTGAAATAAAGTCCAACTTTAAAAAGAAACAAACAAACTGTTTACATTTGATCACTGCTGAACTTTATGGAAATGTTCATTTACTGTTTATAAAGCAGAACTGAATGAAATTTGGTTTTGTCTACAGTCTGTACAGAATGACAATAAACGCTGATTAAGACATATTGTCAATGATGTATTGAAACAAATATAAACAATGGAGAAAAAATCTGTAAACAAGGTGAAAGATTAAGCTGTTATTTCCTGTTATTTCCTGTTTCTGCCGTTTGTGTTGATCTGTGACTGGAGCTCTTTATCAATCCTCCACCATCAGATTGTTTTTCTGGGCCTTTTTGGGTCCAATCAGGCTGATATTAGAGGAGCTAATAACGACTTTGCAACACTGACAGAAACAAGTATTCATGTTCCCTGCGTCACAAGATTATACTTAATTCTGTCCCCATAAATAAAATACTACAACTTTAAAATGTTTAAAGGATTTTTATATTTTGGTGTGTAACTTGAAAAAGATTAAGACATCAAATTATCCTTTTAAAATAGCTTTTATTTACTGATATCTCTTTTCGTCCAAGAATAGCCTGAATATTATACCACCGCCATAAATACCACCGACACCTGATAAGCGTCCGGAGGAACGACCTGTTTTTTGCTCCTGAAGAAAAGATGTGGGAGGAGATTGTTTCCAACATGGATGAAGTTCTAAGCCTGTCCTGAAAAACAAGCTCTGACCTGATGAACAAGGAAAGAGTCTCTGGGTGGAAAAGTACTGGAAGCCTTCATGTGTTTCAGCAGCGAGGAATCAGCTTCAGACAAACCTGTTCTGAACGTTGCTTCAGAGCTCTGGTCCAACTTTAGGAGGATTAGGAGCAGAAATCTGACGAAAAACTGAGAGAAACCACAAATAATTTCACAACCTTAATGGGAAACTTATCTAACTGGACAACAAGCTAAAAAACTTGTTTATCCCTTCACTCATTCTTAAACCCCTTTATCTATTCACCCATTCATTCACTTCCATCCACTTACTCATTCACTCATTAATTCCCCAACATATTTAGACATACAATCACCTGTGCATTCACACATTCATTCTTTTATTCATTTTTTATTCACCCATTCATTTATTCACCCATTTATTGATTAATTAAAATTGACCCTTTTATTAATCCATTTGTTTACCCATTCATTCATTCACTCATTCGTCCACACATCATTCATTTATTCTCTAATTTATTCATTGATATATTCATCCATTTATTTGCTTATTTGCACATTTCTTTGCCAATTATTCTATTCTATTCAGTTTATTTCTATAGCTCCAATTCACATCATGTCATCTCAGGTCACTTTCCAGTTCATTCATTCATTTATTCATTCATTCATTTGTTCATTAATTTACCCATTTATACATCATTTAATTTATCCTTTTATTAATCCATTAATTGACACGTACATTCATTCATTCATCCATCTGCCCAGTCATTCATTAATTTACGCATTCATTCGCTCATTCAACCACTAATTCATTCACCCACCCATCATACATTTATATACCCATTTATTCATTCAC